ATGCCTGTGTAGGACATGAATGATGACAAGGAGCTCCATCCGCATTCGTTAATTCAGGAAGACCAGCCCATGCATTTGTCTCAATGGTTTCGCGATGCACTTGTAGATGTCGCGTTATATTGTGAATCGTTTCATGTTTCTAATAGCACAAAAGAAAGGTTAAATAAAAACTAATGCTTTTAAAACAAAAATGTTCTAGCAAACAATAAACGCACATTTTCTCTTCCACATCCTACTCGAGTATCGAAGTATAAATAAGCACGAAGGAAATAGCCAGTGCACCAAAGCCATTCCTAAAATAGAGGTTATTTAAATTAGAGATATGCGCAAAAGACATAAGGAGATATTATGCTACTTACAGGGCCCTGATGATAATTCCATCCCTTAGCAATCGATGGATCAGTACCATCATTGCTATTATCATAAACACCACGATATGCCCAATCATTTGGATCAAGCGTACGCATTCCTAACGGTCCAGCTAATATCTCACGTGCAATATTCAATGCTTGAAGTGCATGATGTTCATCAAATAGTTCAGGTGCCTGTTTTTGTTTAAAAAAGTAAAATATAATAGTAAAATAAAATATAATAATATCCTAAAAGCATAATTAGCATACTAGAAATTATGCATACCACAACCATAGCAACCGGAAAGTTTGGTCTCAATTGGTAACCTTCATAATCTCTAGAAGAGTTACACAAGTCCCTATATATACCCCTACGGCTAACTAATTTGGAGTTTAATTTGTACTTTGAATCTTCATTTGGGTCTAATTTTAACAGCAAAAAAGAATAATCAGGATTAAATTTATAAAATTAATTTGTGACTAAGTAATGTATTAAATCCAACCGATGGGAATATAGAAATGTTTCTCGAACGACTTTTGGATTAAATCATCCCATTCGGCAAACGTAATAAATTTCTTCGTAGGATTCTCTATATTAATTTAAAAAAAAAATTTATCGTGTCATCAAAAATTTCTATTGAATATGCAGAATTAACACGCCATTAATGTAAAATACATTATTGTATACCTTTGAGTTCAACACCATTCCACGGATAATGACCATTTTTATTTAATTCTGTTATCCATCGCAAAGTAGATTTTAATAGTCCAATAATTTCGACCGCTGCACCGTCTCTTGGTGTAGCCGGTTGACCTTTGTTTCCAGCTTTTTCTGATTCTCCCATCTTATCCATCCAAGTACCACAATTCCATTGGTTTCCACCATTTAAAAAACCAGTTTCCCAATCAACATCAATATCAACATAGAATCCTTTATCAGTCATAGCATGATCAAGATTAGAGCCTGCATTCCACTCTTTGAAATGAATTCCACAAGCATGACGCTCCATTATTTCTTGAATAATTTCAAGAATAGTAACTTCGTATTTATAGGATTGAGGATCATCTGCTTCAATAAATTCATCATTTTTAGGAAATCGTCGGATAACAGGCGTCTTAAGAAAATCTAAACCTTCCGGAGAGAATTGACAATAATCCTGTATTGATTGTAAATACCACCAAGGAGCATCACGACAATTATAACGTGGTCGACGTGCAGCATCCAACAAATTAGGAATCATTCCGTGTTTAAGTACACTACCAAATCCAATTATGTGTCTTTTAGCAGCTTCAAAATTACCCGTAGTAAGGAACAACCCACGCAATGAAATAAAAACATCACGTCCCCAACATCTCATATGACTGGTAGCAAAATGAGGCAACCCCGCAGCCATCGATGGACCAATTTCTGTAGGGTGTAATCCAGTAGATAAAACTATTCCGTACATTTGCACTGAACACAAAGCAAGTGATTGGATAAACAAGCTTCCCTCATATGCACAAGGTGATAACTGTGCCATAACTCGTTTAATTGCTGCAGAATATGACGTCTTCATAACCAAAAAAAAATATTTTGGAACTAGAAAGCTCGGTACTGTCTTTACAAGGGCAAATCTCTCTTGATACCAATCGCATAGTCTTTTAAGATTTGGTGCGTATTTCAAATGTCTAATAATGAAATATTGTCGCATTGTCAGCCTTGCCATATAATTCGTAAAAAAAGCATTATATAATTACCTAACAAGACGGTCCACAATATAGTCTAAAGCCCAATGACCTTCACGTAAGTTGTTACAAAATGGATGACCCAAGTCATTTTCTTTCATTATTGGACGTAAAACTGACATAAAGCCCTCTAAACCACAATACGGTAAATGACCATAACCAGGCACTTCGTATGTGCCATGACCAGGCGTAATGTCATTTTCTTCGCTACCACATCGATATAATACTATATTCAGATCGACCAAATTTAATTCTTGAAAAGCTTCGTAAACATCTGATATAAGAGTTTCATCCAAAGATTTATGTTTATCCACCTCTGTTTCAAGCAACGTGACACTGCCAGAGGGAAATTCTTTTGGCAGTGTAACCTCAGTATATTTTCCGCGTTCATCAGATGTTTCATGTAATGTGGGAGCATTAAGTGATTTAAGTGATGCAAGGAGTCCTGTAAGATATTTTTCATCACGAACAAATTCATCGGATTGGACCTCTAAATTTGTAGAAAAGAGTACTTTGGCCTTTGTACCTCTTAACTTGACAGGAGAAACTGGTGAATAAACGTAAGGTAAGAACATGAATTGAAAAGGAACAATTGTTAACAACATATAAGAGGCATTAATGCTTACGATTACAACTGCGTTTTGGAGGACCAGAGAAAGCGCAATGTGCGATTAATAAATATCCATTATGATTATGTGGATTAACACGATGAACTATAATACACTAATATCAGACAGATAAAGCAGTTAAAATTAATCAAATAGAAATGCAGTTGCTAATTCCATTGAACTTACATCATTTTCGTGATGCACATGGGTTTCTGCATATTCATCTAACGACATTTCAACGTGCAAATGCTGTAATACTTTTTTAACTAAAATCATGTGCATAAATAAATATATGCAATTAAATTGGGACAAAATTAAAGAAAATCTCGGAATTCACTTACCTCTTCCTATACCAGTTTCAAGAGGCTTCTCATATAATTTATAAAGTCTAGTTTCTTGTACTAAATCAACTATTTTTGGATAAATTTCATCATATCCTTTGACACTTCCAATAGCACAAGAACTCATTGCAACAAGAGCACCATTTGATAAAGAGTCTTCAGCAGTTCTTTTTTGATGAGGTGTTTCATTATCGTGAGTACAATCCATAAAAAGCGCGTGTGGATTGGAGCCTGTCAAGGGAACAACAAAACAAGATGTCTCTGAAGATTCATCAACATTTGTACAAGTTGATGTGTCTGTAAGACATTGTGCATCTATAGACCCTTGATTTAGTAACAAGTAAACCAATATAAGCTCTAATACGATATCCTAATGTTAAAGATCAATTAATTAACATACTATACGTGCATACTTACCAACAGGTTTTCCGCCGTGTCGATGAACTAGTCTACTTAACTCGTGCGGATCCCAAGCTTGCATAGCCTCTCTGATGAGAGAGTTAATGCCCAGATGATTTACAAATTTTATGTCCATCTCCTCCGAACCGGTAAATAACTCTGCAACAACATAAAGGTTTGGACGGACGCGACGGGCGGCGTCGAGAAGATATTGTCCGACATGGAGTGGGGTAGAATGACAATTGTCAATACGGAACCCATGGAAAAGTGATGCAAGCTGTGTAGTATATTTTATCATATGATCCCAAAGCCAAGGCGAATCATCCTATAGGAATATAACAGCCATAAAGCATTAAAGTCAAAACTATAAGATATACTTACAGGCAAAATTGGATACAATGTTTTTCATTACCCTGCTTTTACCATATCTTAATTTCACACAATCGCCCCAAACGATCACTTCCCTTCGTAAATAGGCGAATGATTCGCTACTTGCAAAATCCTGCATGGGATTTGCATTCCAGATCCAACCATTATTTACAACAGCCAGACTTCCTTTTGGATGCTTTTGCGTTTTTTCGTTAAGCGGAATACGAGTAAAATACCGTTCAACGAGAGGAACACTGGTGAATTTATCACATATCAATATTAATTAAATCAACTACAAAATCTACAAACTATACAAAATTACTGAATTACCGTCGAGTAATTTCTTTCTGTTTTGGTCCGTGAGGATCAAGTTTCAAATACTTGGCGCGATTCCATATATTGTCCAGAATTGTGACGACTTCTTCATCATATAACTTATAAAATGGCAAGTTTATTTCGTTGACAATGGTTTCGAATTTTTTCAACATAATTTCATGCAAATTTTCCTCTTCTGACTTTATCTCATTTACTTCTACAGACTCTACATTTTTAGTCTTTTCAGAAGTCATTTCTTGACTCTCACAATCTACACTCTTGTCCTCTGCTTTATTCATTCCATTGAGAAGGGTGGATTTAGATTCTAGAATATGGCTAGATTTATCATTTTCTAGTTTATCCGTATTTAATTGTTCATTCTGAGACGAATCTTTGATTGATACACTAGAATCATTAGTCGTACTTTTACATTTTTCCTCAGTCTCAATCAACCTCTCAATAAAAGCAAGAGCAATTTCAATATTTATTTTTTTATAGAAACGCTGACCAAAAGAACCTTTATTATATAGACCTTTATCAGCTAATAATTTTGCTTGTTCAACAAATGAAAGTGCAGCAATGTCAATATCTTCAAATAAAGACTTGTCAATTGATACATTCTTATATAATGCCGCATGAAATTCACTTAATGATTCTTTAACATCAATAACATAGAACTCCCATAAACGTATTTTGCTAATAACATGCTGTTTAACACCTTCAATAATTGCTTTCAAATCTTCTTCAGACTCGACGTGAGCCTTATAACCAAGTGAAGAAAGATTTTCAGAATAATCTAGCAAGGCAGCATCCAACTCATAGGCAGGAGTAAGATGTGGAGAGTTTACTATATTATAACCTAAAATTTGTGATATAATAAATATATCGAGTAAATTAGGAGAAAAAAATTTACAAATATTCAGGATATTATAATCATAACAAAATTAACAACAGACCAGCTTCTGGATGGTCTTGAAGCCATTCGCTGTTATGTGCAGTGTGATTCCAAACAACATCAGTCAAACTTAAAATTCCATATTCTTCATCAATTTTGTTCACAGTTCTTTTAATAATTTCAATTTTTTCTGATGAGCTTTTCATACGATCTTTTTCATCAAATAAATCATCTGAAAAAGTCAACTGATTAAATATAGAATATGGTGAATTAGAGGCGCCACGGGATTGCATTGGTACAAAGTGGATCATATTATAGCCAAGGTCAGACAAAGTCTTAATGTGTTCGTCCCACTGAGAAATGGGACCAAGCAATTTAGGTAGAACGGATTGAAGGACAATACCATCAAGAGGAATTGAGACTCTAGGTTCATCTGATATTGGCTCTGATGATAATATGCGGTATCGAGGAACTATTTCAAGTATCGGATCAACCGTAAAATAACATTTTTCCGATTTTACAGTTTCATCAAATTCCTTCGTTGTCTGTGATTCCTTATACTCCACATAAAATTCAAACGCTCCTGGTCTCTTGATTGTAATATCGACGTGAATAGGTTTCGAAAATACAATTGGAAACCTAATTTTAAAATATATTAATGCAATGTTTATTAATTGGTTTAAAGGGATGCGATTCAAATTAAATAAAGGAGGTAACTCACTTCTTTGAATAAAATTTGTTCCGATCGAATTCTGAGCTAAATTCAAAAAAAAAAAATAAATCATGAGTCAATTTGGATAGATAAAGTGTATAACTTCAAATTTGTAAGACTTACCCCTCTAAAGGATGGTTAGTATATAATACACCTTCGTTTGAAATAAGGGAATCACCACGAATAAAAAAGCGAAGAATATAAGGCTTCGTAGGCGGTGGTAGTCGTATAAATTGTTTTCTTTTGCTAAGTGATCCATCACTCTCAAGCTCAAGCAGATAAATAGTAGGCATCGATTGTTTCACTGACATCTTGGACACGAAAGGAGCCTCGAACAATTTCCGAATTTTTGTGATTCGAATTAAGGGAGGAAAGTCTAAATATATAACTCTAACAGAAATTAGGAAATGGTTACACGATTTATTAAAAAAATCTTTTATTAGGAAGCCTTATCTGATATCTGCCTAAATCAGGAATTAATTTTTAGTCATTACATCATTAAAGTTTAGATTTGGTGCAGCCTAAAAAAACCTACTTTTATATATAATTTTAACATTTGAGTAAAAACTTTGATGACGATAAAAACACATGCTGATGAATTTCATCGGTGAAATTCTTTTATCCGTCATAAAATTTAGGGTGATCGAATACTTTTTAGTACAATTTCGATTGTTAAGGCAGGCTGGAACCGGTTTTATTTGTGTACTGCCGGAAAATGTATTATTTATTGGTTCAGCCCATGATTGATAATAAATAATAAAATTGACAGCCCGAAGTCTCGCAGTTCTCGTTTATAAAATTCGATTTTACAGCTGTTTTCATGAAAATTGTCGACGACCGAATTTGATTTCGGTCGATGTCGTAACTTACTTATTCGGTTATCGAAAAATTTTTGCTGTCTCGGAACAGCTGTAGTCTTATAGATGAACAAAGTTAAATATTTTTTTCTAATTTTTTTACGTAATAAATAAAGAATTATGATGTATTAAAATTCAATCCGATCGATCAACCGATTATCGGGTTTCTTTACAGATTACGTTTGAAAATCGTAATAACTGATAAGTAATGATCATTGTACTGTAATAATACGTAAGGGAAGGTCGGGTATTATGACGCACAAGAATTGCCAATAGTAAAAATTTTTAGAATACCGGTAAGTATATTTATTTATTCCCAAAATTTATCGAAATAAAATACATTCGATTTACTATCTAATGGTAGAAAAAAAAAAAAAAGATTTTTTTAAAAAACTAGGCATTTCGAACTTTCTGACCCTCACACGCATATAATATTATATATATATATATAAACTTTAATCCTAACCCTAGTCAAAATTTTTCTAAAAATTGAGGTATTATGGCGTACTATCGGTATTTTACTTCTGCTGATCTTTCCTCCAAATAGAAAAATAGCGTAATAACTACACCATAACGATAATATGCACCTCACCTACACCTCACCAATTACCGGGATCCTAACACAGACAAAATGTGAAACTAATCAACAGACGCCACCTCCTGCACAAAATTTATCGCTATAGGAAACTCTATATCTAATAGTTGACAGGATTAACTGCAGTCGACAACACAATTAAATCGAACTACTACGTAACCATTACTACAGGCAC